CCACCATGCCCAGCTAATTTTTTGTATTTTTAGTAGAGACGGGGTTTCACCATGTTGACCAGGATGGTCTCGATCTCTTGACCTCGTGACCCACCTGCCTCGGCCTCCCAAAGTGCTGGGATTACAAGCTTGAGCCACCACACCTGGCCCAGAAACTTTTAAGCTAAAATTTGTAACACTGTTTTTTTGTTAAATCTGGAAATAGAGCTGTTTTGTACTTACATCTGAAAATAGAGTGAAAATGCTTTTAAATTGTTTTTATCTAAATGTAATTTATTAAGAAAATACATAACTTTTGTCCTAAAGATAGTCTTAAATATGACTTCAGTGCCAAGTATCTTTTAGCAATAGAGTAAATGTTAATTAAACCCCTAGTTTTTTCTTGGGATTTCTTGTTTGGGACAGAAGAAATCTGAACTCTGTGCATGTGCTGATGCGTAGTCTTAAATATGACTTTAGTTCCAAGTATCTTTTAGCAGTGGAGTAAATGTTAATTAAACCCCTAATTTTTTCTTGGGATTTCTTGTTTGGGACAGAGGAAATCTGACATCTGTGCGTGTTCTGATGTGTGTGCATTTGTGTGTGTGTGTGTGTGTGTGTGTGTCAGTGTCATTGTAAGGTCTCAACGCCAAAAGTAGGTCTCTGATAAGTACAATAAGCAAAAGTACAAAGTCAACGCCAGCGAACATTTTAAAAGTTAAGAACATGACTGATGTCTTGTGTGTGACATTTAGCTAGGTCCGTCAGCAGTTTTTTACTATAGATGACTCTAGGTAACAGAATGTAATTAGAGCAACCTTTTTGCATAAAAGGTTTTCACACAATTAATACAAATTTGTATAAGGCTATTTATACAAATATGTGATTTAAGGTATTTTTTTGACGTATACTAACAGAGACATAAAAATATACATTGTACATTCTGCCATTATGGTCTGGGGGATCCGATGTTTCTAGAGTTACATAATTGAAACTTTTCTTCAGTAATTAAATGAAGATTTATTTCCCTCAGGTTTTTTTCTTGCAGTTGGTTCTTTGCTCTGCAGTTTCCTCCAAGCCTGTCAGTATTTAAATATGTAAAATCTTAAAACTATGAAGGCATTACATTGAATAAAGCTCTTTGATGCAGTACCTTGCTATATTATAGATTGATTATTATTATGGTTAGATTGTGTCCCTGGTAGACTTAATACAATTTTTGGATAGGTAATATAGCTCTACTGTACATGCTTCTCCATATATGTTGATTTTTATATGAAATGTGTGTTTTGCTGCCTTAGATAAATTCCTAGAACACAAGCTGTCATTTAATCTCTATGTAGTAGGTAATATATAAATTATTAAATATTTGTAAATTAGGCTTCAAAAATTACATCTTTATTATAAGTTTCTGTGTAGTAACCACTCTTTTAAATGTTTGTCTCCCCTTCTATTCCTATTTTAAAATCCTTTCAGATATTATTTAAAAAAGTACTGAAAGGAGAAGTAACCCCTGATCATCTGATAAGAATGAGTCCAGAAGAACTGGCTTCTAAGGAGTTAGCTGCTTGGAGACGAAGAGAAAACAGACATGTAAGATTATTTATAAATATGTATTTGACTATCAAAATCTGTATTTTTCAGCCATAGGATAAAAACTATACAGAGGTAAATTCAACACAGACTGCGCAATAAACAGACTTTCTGTTAAATGCTTCTTTTTTTTGGGAGATGGAGTCTAGCACTGTTACCAGGCTGGATGGCATGATCTTGGCTCACTGCAACCTCCACCTCCCAAGTTCAAGTGATTCTTCTGTTTCAGTCTCCTGAGTAGCTGGGATTATAGGCATGTGCCACCATGCCCAGCTAATGTTTGTATTTGTAGTAGAGATGGGATTTCACCATGTTGGCCAGGACGGTCTCCATCTCCTGACCTTGTGATCCGCCCACCTTGGCCTCCCAAAGTGTTGGGATTACAGGCGTGAGCCACCACACCTGGCCTACATGCTTCTTTTAGTTACTCTCCATTCCTCTAGTTCTTAAATTCTGTGGTTTCCTTAATCTTGCCAGTTTTTTTTTCTCATTTTCTCCAGTTACCAGGTTACAGAATTACCTTGTGTTATATTATAGTATGTAAATAAGAATGGGAGAAGAATTAACATCTTTCCATAATCACATCTGTAGTTTTCAGCAGCCCAGTTTGAAGGTATTTTGAATATTGGTAATTTGTAGAGCCAGGTGAATTAAGTCAGAATAAAAATGTGTACAGGTTTACCTCAAATGCCAAAAGCTCTGAAAAATAATTTTCACATAACTAATTTATTGATAAAGCCTGACCTTAATTGCCTTGTATGAATGTTCATATTCACAGAAATATTGTATATTTGATTATGTGGTGCTGCCTCAGACCTAACTGGAGTGTTATGTAATACAGAGAATGTGCACCATATTGCATTTTTGAATTTAAAAATTCTGAAACTCAGAGATAGCAAGAGTTTCTGTTTGGAGATTGTGAAAAAGATACTTAAAGTACCTTTAAAAATTATGTGAAAAGTATGTTACTTAGTGCTATTGTGACAGTGAGATAGCCATATTATCCTTTTTTTTTTTTATTGCAATGGCATCAGAATATTAGCCCTTTATTCTAGAAGATACCTGATATTTTTGTTCGTAATACTTACTTACATCTGAGGCACTAATCCTCCATATAGACGTATGCCAGATCTAGTTTGAAGCTCATCTAGAGGCCTTGATTTGACATATCATACTTCTTCATACATTCCTTTACCTTCATCCTGTGTAATTTCTCCTCCTGTTATGTTTTGAAAATAATATCATCTCCCTTTCTTTTCCTCCATATCTCAAATATGCGCATGACTCTCTTCTGCTTTGAAACTGTGGCTGCAAGTATCATCTGCATCAGAAAATGCCAGCTTGTTCTTTCTAAAGGCCATGTACCTGATTTTTCTTTAAAGGATGATTTATACTTGGCAAAGGCAGTCCCATCTATACCCTTCTATTCCTAGCTACCTTTATGCTAGTCTTGTTATACTTGCTTAAATTTTGTGTTTTGTTGCTAGGTTTGTTCAACTGAATTTTCAGGGTCACTAATCAGGCTTATTCAGGAGACAACTAATAAAGGACTGTCAGATTGGTCATTTGAATAAACTTCTATTGTGGGGAATATTAGAACATCAATTGAGGAATTTAGGAACAAGATAGTTTGTATTTCCCTGTGGCTGCTGCTAAAAAGTACGAAATTGGCAAACAGATTTCAAATATAAATAGTATGTTTCACCACTTTGTAAATTACTTTGGACTTCAGTTGCCTCCTGTTATAAATGTACATGTGAACTTCTCACGGTTGATGTATGGGGTCTCATTCTTACAACCCCAGTACTTAAAACTATCTCTGGCTTATAAAAGTACTCAGAATATGTTTGTTATATCAGACATTACCTGAAGATTAAAAGTCATCTGTGATGATTCATTTATTTTTAGGTAAGCTCTTATTATTTAAGGTGTACATTTGGAAATACATACTTTAAATGTAATATTTTTAAAAAGTATTTTCTGTTAGACCATAGAAATGATTGAGAAAGAGCAGAGAGAAGTGGAACGACGACCAATCACCAAAATAACTCATAAAGGTGAAATAGAAATTGAGAGTGATGCCCCAATGAAAGAACAGGAAGCAGCCATGGAGATTCAGGTAAGGATAGATATGCCATGTTTTATAGCTCAAATCATGAAGATTCAGAAAACATTTTTTCTCCCAATGCTTTTAAAGTAGAGAAAATAATTTTAAATATATGCATCCATTTTAAAGTAGCTTATTTTGTTGGTTAAGTGGCATTTTTGAGTGTTGAGTAATGTTTCTCTTAGTGTGCAGATTGCGTTATAGGTACCTGTTAAACACATTAAAATGTAGATTCCTGGAGTGCTCTGATACAGTGAATTTCTTTTTATTTTTGGTGGGGATAGTGTCTTACTTTGTTGCCCAGACTGGACTGCAGTGGAGCAATCTCTGCTCAATGCAACCTCCACCTCCCAGGTTCGAGTGATGCTCCCACCCCTGCCTCCCAAGTAGTTGGGATTACAGGCATGTGTCAACACACCCTGCTAATTTTTATATTTTTAGTAGAGAGAGAGTTTCACCATGTTGGCCAGGCTGGTCTCAAGCTCCTGACCTCACGTGACCTGCCCACCTCAGCGTCCCAAAGTGCTGGGATTACATGTGTGAGCCAATTGTGCATGGCCTGACTTGGTGAATTTTTTAGTAGGCTTAGAAATCTGTAAATGCTTCTTAGGCAGATTGTCATTTGATAGGTGGCATAGCTTTTCTTATTTTGAAAAATCAGTGAAGAAATAAAGTCTTAATAATAATTCAAAGTCTTATTAGAGAAGCCTTGAAGAATGTGGAATGTGTAAAATTTTCTTCTATTTTAAGTCACAGTTAAAAGCCAGCATTCATTTTCTTAAGAAATAGGTTTTTTTTTTTAACTATCAGTGGAACAATTTCATTTTAGAAAAATATAAATGAAAAATATAATTGGACTTTGGTAATTGAGGCCAAATTTTTTCATCTAAAACTAATTTTTACTTTCACTTATTGTTAGGAACCAACTGCCAATAAGTCATTGGAGAAACCAGAAGGATCTGAAAAACAAAAAGAGGAGGTCGACTCCATGTCTAAAGATACCACTAGTCAACACAGACAGCATCTCTTTGATCTCAACTGCAAAATTTGCATTGGTAATTATAAGTTTTTCTTGCTATAATTTTGCATTCATTATCAAAGGAGGATACTTATATGCTAGTATATGTAATTTAAGTAGGTTTTGTTTTCCCAATATTGGTGGTAAGGTACTCACTCAGTCTTTGAGCAGTAGCACTTCTATGTGACTGGTGTTCTGGGTTGAGGTATAGTTTAAAAACTCTTCTTGCCGGAGTCAGATGACAAGAATTTTTTTTTTTTTTTTTTTTAAACATTCTGCTTGCATTTTTTAATATCTAGAGATTTCTGGAAAATCTTCAGGTTTCTTGTATGAGTGAGAACATGTGTTTTCTGTTCTTGTATCAGTTTGCTGAGAATGATGGTTTCCAGGTTCATCCATGTCCCTACAAAGGACACAAACTCATCATTTTTTATGGCTGCATAGTATTCCATGGCATATATGTGCCAGATTTTCCCTGTCCAGCCTATCATCAATGGGCATTTGGGTTGGTTCCAGGTCTTTGCTATTGTAAACAGTGCTGCAGTGAACATACGTGTGCATGTGTCCTTATAGCAGAACGATTTATAATCCTTTGGCTATATACCCAGTAATGGGATTGCCAGGTCAAATGGAATTTCTTTTTCTATGTCCTTGAGGAATCACCACACTGTCTTCCACAATAGTTGAATTAAATGACACTCCCACCAACAAGTGTAAAAGTGTTCCTGTTTCTCCACATCCTCTCCAGCATCTGTTGTCTCCAGATTTTTCAGTGATTGCCATTCTAACTGGAGCGAGATGGTATCTCAGAGTAGTTTTGATTTGCATTTCTCTAATGACCAGTGATAATGAGCATGTTTTTCATAAGTTTGTTGGCGTCATATATGTCTTCTTTTGTAAAGTGTCTGTTGATATCCTTTGCCCACTTTTGAATGGGCTTTTTTCTTGGAAATCTGTTTTACTTCTTTGTAGATTCTGGATATCAGCCCTTTGTCAGATGGGTAGATTACAAAAATTTTTTCCCATTCTGTTGGTTGCCAATTCACTCTAATGACTGTTTCTTTTGCTATGCAGAAGCTGTGGAGTTTGATTAGGTCCCATTTATCTATTTTGTCTTTTGTTACCAATGCTTTTGGTGTTTTTGGTCATGAAGTCCTTGCCTACGCCTATGTCCTGAATCGTTTTGCCTAGATTTTCTTCTAGAGTTTTTATGGTGTTAGGTCTTATGTTTAAGTCTTTAATCCATCTGGAGTTAATTTTAGTGTAAGGTATCAGGAAGGGGTCCAGTGGCACATCGCTAGCCAGTTTTCCCAACACCATTTGTTAAACAGGGAATCCTTTCCCCTTTGCTCGTTTTTGTCAGGTTTGTCAAAGATCCAATGGTTGTAGATGTGTAGCATTGCCTCCGAGGCCTCTGTTCTGTTCCATTGGTCTATATCTCTGTTTTGGTACCAGTACCTTGCTGTTTTCATTACTGTGGCCTTGTAACATAGTTTGAAGTCCTGTAGTATGATGCCTCCAGCTTTGTTCTTTTTGCTTAGAATTGACTTGGCTATGCGAGCTCTTTTTTGGTTCCATATAAAGTTTAAGGTGTTTTTTTCCAGTTCTATGAAGAAGGTCATTGGTAGCTTGATGGGGATAGCCTTGAATCTGTAAATTACTTTGGCAAGTATGGCCATTTTCACGATACTGATTCCTCCAAACCATGAGCATGGAATGTTTCTCCATCTGTTTGTGTCCTCTCTCATTTCGTTGAGCAGTGGTTTGTAGTTGTCCTTGAAGAGGTCCTTTACATACCTTGTTAGTTGTATTCGTAGGTATTTTATTCTCTTTGTAGCAATTGTGAATGGCAGTTCGTTCTTGATTTGGCTCTGTTATTGGTGTATAGGAATGCTTGTGTTTTTTGCACATTGATTTTGTATCCTGAGATTTTGCTGAAGTTGCTTATCAGTTTCAGGAGATTTTGGGCTGAGATGATGGAGTCTTCTAGATATACAATTATGTCATCTGCAAATAGAGACAATTTGACTTCCTCCTTTCCTATTTGAATACTGTTTATTTTTCTTGCCTTATTGCTCTGGCTAGAACTTCCAATACTATGTTGAGTAGGAGTGGTGAGAGGGGGCATCCTTGTCTAGTGCCAGATTTCAAAGGGAATTCTTCCAGTTTTTGCCTATTCAGTATGATATTGGCTGTTGGTTTGTCGTAAATAGTGTTTATTATTTTGAGATACGTTCCATTAATACCTAGTTTATTGAGGGTTTTTAGCAAAAAGCGCTGTTGAATTTTGTCAAAGGCCTTCTCTGCATCAATTGAGATAATCATTTGGTTTTTGTCTTTGGTCCTGTTTATGTGGTGAATTACGTTGATAGACTTGCGTATGTTGAACCAGCCTTGCATCCCCGGGATGAAGCCTACTTGATCATTGTGGATAAGCTTTTTGATGTGCTGTTACAATCGGTTTGCCAGTATTTTATTGAAGATTTTTACATCTATGTTCATCAAGGATATTGGCCTCAAGTTTTCTTTTCTTGCTGAGTCTCTGCCTCGTTTTGGTATCAGGATGATGTTGATCTCATAAAATGATTTGGGAAGGATTCCCTTTTTTTGTATTGTTTGGAATAGTTTCAGAAGGAATGGTAACAGCTCCTCTCTGTATGTCTGGTAGAATTCAGCTGTGAACCCATCTGGACCTGGGCTTTTTTTGGGTGGTAGGCTATTAATTGCTACCTTAACTTCTGCCCTTATTTTATTGGTCTGTTCAGGATTTTGACTTCTTCCTGGTTTAGGCTTGGGAGGATGCAAGTGTCCAGGAATTCATCTATTTCTTCCAGTTTTACTTGTTTATGTGCATAGAATTGTTTGTAATAATCTCTGATGATGGTTTGTATTTCTGTGGAATCTGTGGTGATATCCCCTTTATTGTTTTTTTATTGCATCTATTTGATTATTCTCTCTTTTCTTTTTTATTAATCTGGCTAGTGGTCTATTTTGTTGATCTTTTCGAAAAACCAGTTCCTGGATTTATTGATTTTTTTGAAGGGTTTTTTGTGTCTCTATCTCCTTCAGTTCTGCTTTGACCTTAGTTATTTCTTGTCTTCCACTAGGATTTGAGTTTTTTTTATCTTGCTTCTGTAGCTCTTTCAATTTTGATGATAGGGTGTCGATTTTAGATCTTTCCTTCCTTCTTATGTGGGCATTTATTGCTATATATTTTCCTCTAGACACTGTTTTAAATGTGTCCCAGAGATTCTGGTATGTTGTGTCTTTGTTCTCATTGGTTTCAAAGAGCATCTTTATTTCTGCCTTCATTTCATTGTTTATCCAGTCAACATTTGAGAGCCAGTTGTTCAGTTTCCGTGAAGCTGTGCGGTTCTGAGTTAGTTTCTGAATTCTGAGTACTAACTTGATTGTAGTGTGGTCTCAGAGACTGTTTGTTATGATTTCCATTGTTTTGCATTTGCTGAGAAGTGATTTACTTCCAATTACGTGGTCAGTTTTAGAGTAGGTGTAATGTGGTGCTGAGAAGAATGTATATTCTGCGGATTTGGGGTGGAGAGTTCTGTAAATGTCTATTAGGTTTGCTTGGTCCAGGTCTGAGTTCAAGTCCTTGATATCCTGGTCAATTTGCTGTCTTGTTGATCTGTCTAATACTGACAATGGGGTGTTAAAGTCTCCCACTATTATTGTGTGGGAGTCTAAGCCTCTTCTTAGTCATTAAGAACTTGCTTTATGTATCTGGCTCCTCCTGTATTGGGTGGGTGTATATTTAGGATTGTTAGCTATTCTTGTTGCATTGATCCTTTTACTATTATGTAATGTCCTTCTTTGTCTCTTTTGATCTTTGTTGGTTTAAAGTCTGTTTTATCCAAGAGAATCGCAACTCCTGCTTTTTTTTGCTGTCTGTTTGCTTGGAAAATCTTCCTCCATCCCTTTATTTTGAGACTTTGTGTATCCTTGCATGTGAGATGAGTTTCCTGGATACAACACACCAATGGGTTTTTTCTTTTTATCCAATTTGATAGTCTGTCTTTTTATTGGGGCATTTAACACATTTACGTTTAGGGTTAATATTGTTATGTGTGAATTTGATACTGCCATTTTGATGCTAGCTGGCTGTTTTGCTCGTTAGTTGATGCAGTTTCTTCATTACATCGATGTTCTTTACCAATTGGGTATGTTTTCGTAGTTGCTGGTACTGGTTGTTCCTTTCTATGTTTAGTGCTTCTTTCAGGAGCTCTTGTAAAGCAGGCCTGGTGGTGACAAAATCTCTGAGTAATTGCTTGTTTGTAAAGGATTTTATTTCTCTTTCACTTATGAAGCTGTTTGGCTGGATATGAAATTCTGGGTTGAAAGTTCTTTTCTTTAAGGATGTTGAATATTGGACTCCACTCTCTTCTGGCTTGTAGGGTTTCTGCTGAGAGATCTGCTCTGAGTCTGATGGGCTTCCTTTTGTTGGTAACCCAACCTTTCTCTCTGGCTGCCCTTAGCATTTTCTCCTTCATTTCAACCCTGGTGAATCTGACGATTATGTGCCTTGGGTTTGCTCTTCTTGAGGAATATCTTTGTGGTGTTCTCTTTATTTCCTGGACTTGAATATTGGCCTGCCTTGCTAGGTTGGGGAAGTTTTCCTGGATAATATCCTGAAGAGTATTTTCCAGCTTGGATTCATTCTCTCCGTCAGTTTCAGGTACACCTATCAAACGTAGATTAGGTCCTTTCACATAGTCCCACATTTCTTGGAGACTTTGTTCATTCCTTTTTACCCTTTTTTCTCTAATCTTGCCTTCTCGTTTTATTTCATTGAGTTGATCTTTGACCTCTGATACCCTTTCTTCTGCTTGGTCAGTTTGGCTGTTGAAACTTGTGCATGCTTCACAAAGTTCTCGTGTTGTGTTTTTCAGCTCCATCAATTCACTTATATTCCTCTCTAAGTTGTCCATTCTCATTAGCATTTCGTCAAATCTTTTTTCAAGGTTCTTAATTTCTTTGACTTGGGTTGTCATGATGTTTTAGCTCAGAGAAGTTTCTTATTACTCACCTTCTGAAGCCTTTTTCTGTCAATTCATCACACTCATTCTCCATCCAGCCTTGTTCCCTAGCTGGTGAGGAGTTGTGATCTCTTGGAGGAGGAGAGGTGTTCTGGTTTTGGGTGTTTTCATCCTTTTTGCGCTGGTTTCTTCCCATCTTTGTGGATTTATCCTTCTGTCGTCTTTGTAGTTGTTGACTTTCAGATTGGGTCTCTGAGTGGATGTCCAGTTTGTTGATGATGAAATTATTTGTTTCTTAGTTTTCTTTCTAGGCCCCTCTGCTGTAGGACTGCTGAGGTCCATTCTAGGCCCTGCTTGCCTGGGGATCACCTGCAGTGGCTACAGAACAGTAACGGTTGCTGCTAGTTTCTCCTTCTGCTATCTTTGTTCCAGAAAGCTACCTGCCAGATGTCAGTCTGAGTTCTCCTTTATGAGGTGACTCTTTGGATATGTGGGGGTCAGGTAGCTGCTTGAGGAGACAGTCTGTCCTTTATAGAAGCTCAAGTGCTGAGCTGTGAGCTCCGTTGTTCATTCAGAGCTGCTGGGCAGGTACATTTAAGTCTGCTGCAGCAGAACTCATAAATGCCTTTTTTTTCCCCCCAGGTGCTCTGTCCCAGGGAGTTAGAGCTTTATTTGTAAGTTTCTGTCATGCTGCTGCCTTTTTTCAGGGCCACCCTGCCCCACGTGGACGCATCCTAGTCACAGTCTGCCTGCAGAGGCTTTGCTGAGCTGCTATGGTCTCCGCCCAGCTGCTGTGTGAACTTCCCCTCAATCCTTCGCACTTTCGCTCGGAGCTGCAATCCTGAGCTACTCCTAATCAGCCATCTGGGATCAGTCCCACCAGATGACAGGAATTTAACCATTAGAATGAACATCTGAAATTGTGGGCAGTAGGATACTGTCATTTACTCCAGGAAAGGAGTAAAATAGTGTTTATATTTTATTATTATATATAACAGACAAATCAGAAACCGAAATTACTTTTTATAAAAAAGCTGTTTATTTTTAAGAGCAATTTTAGGTTCCTAGCAAAATCGAGAGGAAGTCACAGAGATTTCCGATATAACTGCTACTCCATACATGCATAGTCTCCACTGTTATCAACATCCCACACTAGAGTGGTGCAGTTATTATAGCTGATGAACCTACATTGAAAAATAACGACCCCAGATCCATAGTTTACGTTGGCGCTCACTCTTAGAGTTGTACATTCAGTGGTTATGGATAGATGTTAAAGACATGGACCTGGTATTATAGTAGTATACAGAGCATTTTCACTGTCCTAAAAATCGTCTTTACTCTGTCTGTTAATCATTTCCCCCAGCACCCCCACCAACCCCTGGAAACCTCTGATCTTTTCAGTGTCACTGTAGTTTTGCCTTTTTTAGAATATTGTATAGTTGGAATCATCTAGTATGTAACATTTTCACATTGGTTACTTTCACTTAGTAATATGCATTTAAGGTTCCTCTATGTCTTTTCATGGCCTGATAGATAGCTCATTCTTTGTAGCATTGAATAATATATTCCATTTTCTGGATATATAGCTTATTTATCCAGTCACTTGCTGCAGGAGATCTTGTTTTATTCCAAGTTTTGGCAATTACGAATAAAACTAGTATAAACATCTGTATGCAGCTTTCGTGTGGATTTGTTTTCAGCTTCTTTGGGTCAATACCATGGAGCACAATTGCTGGATTGTATGTTAAGAGTGTGTTTATCTTTTGAGAAACCTCCAAATTATTTTTCACAGAGGCCGTGCCATTTTAACCTTCCCTCCAGCAATAAATGAGAGTTCCTATTGCTCCACATCCTTGCTAGCATTTGGTGTTATCAGTATTCTAGATTTTGGCCATTCTAATAGTTGTGTAGTGATACCTCTCTGTTGTTTTACTTTTGCATTTTCCTGATGACATATGTGGAGCATCTTTTCATGCTTATATGCCATCTGTATAGCTTCTCTGGTGAAATACCTCTTCAGGCATGTATAGTCGTGAACTGTTGCTGATAATCGAAACTTGGATACAGATATAAAGATTTGTCTTAGTTCTCAAGACTATTGGAATTTGGTGTGGTTTAGTTAAAAGATAATTGTCAGAGAACTAAGAAACCTGTTTTAGGTTCTAGTAATAATATTTTTATTTTAGCTTGTTTGAGTTGTTTAACATTCTCTTCTTCTAAGTTTTCACATCACTAAGACAGGAATTACACTCTCTAGTCCAGGGGTCCAAAGCCCCCAGGGCCACAAACCTGTACTGGTCTATGGCCTGTTAGGAACTGGGTTGCACAGCTGGAGGTGACTGAGCATTACCATAGCCTGAGCTCGGCCTCCTGTCAGATCAGTGGTTGCATTAGATTCTCATAGGAGCGCAAACCCTATTGTGAAATGCACATGTGAAGGATATAGGTTGTGTGCTCCTTATGAGAATCTAACTATTAATGGTTGATGATCTGAGGTTTAACAGTTTGATCCTGAAACCATCTCTCCCCTCATCCACCATCCAAAATTGTCTTCCATGAAACTGGTTCCTGGTAAGAAAAAGGTTGGGGACCGCTAATCTTTTTCATATTTTCTCATGTAAGTTTTACATGTAGGAAATAATTATAAAGTGATTTTAAGGGAAAGTTAACTTTATTACAGGTAGAACCATGCACGATTTGCTTTGAATTTCATTTCAGATAAGCTTAGATCACTGTATATAGAAGAGGGCAGGCAGTGGGAAGAACACAGGTGAATTTTCTGCTGATTCTTAAATGTGGTTGTAATATAACTAAATGATGACAGTTAGATATTACCCGAGGAAATGTTTGGTTACTCAGCAATCAAATCATAGAACCTGAAAAACTTTAGAAAATGAAAGTGGGTCAAGTTGTGAAAATTGCAGTTAACAACAACTGGTTTCTTTTGGTGTATTCTGGGCTTAGGTCGAATGGCACCACCTGTAGATGATCTCTCTCCAAAAAAAGTAAAAGTTGTTGTAGGAGTAGCTCGTAAACATTCAGACAATGAAGCAGAAAGTATAGCAGATGCATTGTCTTCAACCTCAAATATTTTGGCTTCTGAATTCTTTGAGGAGGAGAAACAAGAATCTCCAAAATCAACATTCTCTCCTGCTCCACGTCCAGAGATGCCTGGAACTGTTGAGGTTGAGTCTACCTTTCTGGCTCGATTGAACTTCATCTGGAAAGGTTTTATCAACATGCCTTCTGTGGCAAAATTTGTTACCAAAGCCTATCCTGTATCTGGCTCCCCTGAATACTTGACAGAGGTACTGTGAACTTTTCTGCTCTTCTGTGCATGAATTGATATGTGTGTTTCTGAAAGTAATAGACAGGGAAATAAGGCGGAGTTAGTAATAAAAATATGTATTAACAGTGATTCTTAAACAGTTCAAGTAATAAAATTACGAATTAACAAATGGATCTTTAGAATTGTAAAAACAAACTACACTCCAAAAGTTGTAAACTCCTATGTCCTGAACTTTTCTCAAGGTGTGCTACCTCACTGTGTCAGAGAATTAAAAATCAGTGAGAGTCTATATGGATATCCAAGTTTTTCTTTGAATACACACTTAAATAAAAGATTTACACATTTTTGGCTTTTAATGTTAACCCATTAAGAAGATTTTTTTATTGTTGAACAAGTCTTCTGTTTTCCCCACTGTTTATGTTTCCCCAGCTTCATGACTAGTTTTTATCTGCCTATTCTGTGAATGTGGTTTTTGTAGACTGGGAGTTGAAACTTTACAGCTATTTGAAAACTAGTGAGACTAGTGACCGTAATTGCTGCAAGCAGTACTCTTGGTTGGTTTTACACCTGAGGGAAATAGGAAGAAACTATTATGTAGTATTTATGGAAAATAAGCAGCAGTAATATAATGTGATAAATGAGATGACATTTTTGAACTACTTTGAAGGAAATATATTTTCATATGTGTATGGAAGGAAAATAAATCAGTACCTATATGTTGTATTTATACTGAGATCATATTTTGCTATTTTGTTCATATCTGACCTTTCTTATTTATTCTCCATTTGCTTATTTTAAAGAATTAAAAGGTTTTTTAAAACTCCATGTATTATTTCAAAAAGCCTAAATCATATATGTCTATTTTTTTAAAGGCTAACATAAACTTTTCTTTGGATTAGGCTGGAATTAGTTTAATTCAATGTAATACTGTTTATATAATGTGGATCAGTTTATTTGGTTAGCCATTGTGGTTTTTTTTTTTGTTTGTTTGTTTGTTTGTTTGTTTTTTGAGACAGCCTTGCTGTGTTGCCCAGGCTGCAGTGCAGTGGCATGATCTCCACTTACTGCAATCTCTGCCTCCTGGGTTCAAGCCATTCTCTGGTCTCAGCCTCCCAGATAGCTGGGATTATAGGTATGCGTCACCACACCTGCTAATTTTTGTATTTTTAGTAGAAACGGGTTTCACCATGTTGGCCAGGCTGGTCTTGAACTCCTGACCTCAAGTGATCTGTCTGCCTCTGCCTCCCAGAGTACTGGAATTACAGATGTGAGCCACCACACCCGGCCTAGCAGTGTTTTCAGTTAATAAACAGCCTAATCACTTTTATATACAGTTTGCTTGATAAATATTTTTAAAATGTGAGTTTTATAAGAGAAAAATGAAATGGTGTTTCTGAATAAATCTGTTTAGAAATTTAATGTTTGGTCAGTCCATGGTGAACATAATTGTTCCTTTAAATGGAGAGTTAAGCCCTTAACTACAAAATCCTTTGATTTTAAACATAATTATTTTCCCTTCTGAGACACAGTTTTTATATGATTGCTTTCCAGATTTTCACTTCCATTTTGTACTTGTTTTTAGTTTGGGACTAAACTCCCAAACAAAATATTTTAAGGTAGTTAATAATTGAATAAACTAAATTGAATTTAATATCAGTTATGTTTTTATGATTTTTCTCAGTCATCATGGAAAAAATAGGAATGTACTAAAGAAAGTTTTAAAGATTCTTAATTGCTTTTATGTGTAGTCATTTGTTTTCAGAAAGATTGTGCCTTTAAAAAAAAAAAACCTTAAATGATTACAATATTATTCTACTCTGTGCAAAAATACACTCTGTAATTATATTTGGTAACCTTTGAAATTCAGCTGTTAATTATTAAGGAATGTTCCTGCCTCCTACTACCAAAAGGGGAGGTTACAGTCTCTCCTAATATTCTGGAATGTGCGGTGTTCTTCCTGAATTGGTAAGGTGGTATGTTTGCCATTGCTTCCCATTCCCATCTTTCATAGCGAGATTGAGCAGAACTCAGAATTTTTCTTAGTAGCTGTATTTTAGGCCTATCAGTCATTTGTAGTTGGCATTTTAAGTAAAACCAAATTGTTCTGTCTATTGTGTGTTTTCTGATGTATTTTTTATAATCTTACTGACTTTTTATTACTGTTTCAAATTAGTCTTAGAACCAATTTGTTTGAATTATTAATGTCATAATAAAGATATTCTATATATATATTGATCTCTCTTTTTTTTTTTAACCACAGGACCTACCAGATAGTATTCAAGTAGGTGGCAGGATATCACCTCAGACAGTTTGGGATTATGTGGAAAAAATAAAAGCATCAGGAACCAAGGTGAGGAAAACTTTTTTCACTATGCCAGCATGGGAAAATGTTTAGGAGGGAAACAGTTCAGAATTCTTATGCAAGAGTGCAAGGTCTCCTGGGGAAAGGAGGCAATACACATTTTAAGTCTGCATAATATACCTCACAAAACTGAACTAAAGCCATTTGCTGAGGAAACTAAAGAATATAGCATTTCTTTTTTTCCTCTCCTCTTCTGGGATGCTCTGTTTGTGGCTTCTCTTAATGTTTTAGAAGAAATGTTTTAGAGTAATTATTGAGATTCACCCTGGAATTTTGCCTTGCTTCTGTTATAGACATCTGTTTGAGTTAGGGCACAGCTAAGCTGTTGCAAAAAAAGAGACTATAAAATATAGTGACTCTAAGAATATAGAAGTTAATTGGAATGTTGTCCTCATCAGTCAAACATACCAAATAGGAGTAAATGACGAATACCTATCTAGTTGTTTCAGAGGCAGATTGCAGTCATCAGCTTCCATTGGAAAGAACCTAGTCACGTAGCCATACATAGCTGCTAGGGAGGCTGGGAAATGTCATGTTTATTGGATGGCTATGTACCCAGCTAAAAGTTAAGGGCTTCTCAGTAGTAATAGGAGGAAAGGAGAAAAGATACTATGAAATGCCTCTATCACAGTAATATTTCTCCTCTTCCTTTATCTCTCTCTATTTTTTTTTTTAACTTACAGAAAATTATTACAGAGGAAAATTTAATCATTAGAAGAAATCGTTTTTCCCTCTAGTGGATGTGATAGTATCTACTATATTACAGGTTTCAGTAAATGTTGAAGTCTTGAATAAATGAATGTTACTTTTCTACCTCTTTTCCTAGAAGTCTCTAGTTTTTCTTTGGAGTGATCCAAAATGCATAACCTTAAGCTGAAAAGAATATTTTGTTCCAATACAGATTTTAGAATTTAAAATGATACAGCATTAAAATACAAATAAACTTTAAAGCACTAATAAAAATGAGTAGTATTACTCTTGGACATTTTGAGAATCACTCTTGAATCCACATATATCACACTTGAATCCAAGAATTGAATCATCTTGAATCTAACACTTTATAGTATGTCTCCAACTGAACAGATTTAAACGCTGTAATAGTTGTTACTAACATACGTATGCTGATTTTTACTCTAAAAGAGGGCAGCTTAGATGACATTTTATAAGAAATGGAGTCATATTTCAGCTCATTCACCTGTTTCGTTAGGAGCTTGCATCAGTTTTTAGGCTTTGCAGCAAATCTGGCTCTCCCATTTCAACCATATACCATCATGAAAAAAATTTGTTTCTAACGGTACCAAATTAATTACAAATTGTAATCATCAACTTCCATGGGAAAGAACTGTTTTCTAATGCTACCAAATTAATTACAAATTGCAACCAACAACTTCCATTGGAAAGAACCTAGTCACATAGCCATATATAGCTGCTAGGGAGGCTGGGAAATAGCTTGTTTATTTGATGGCTATGTGCTTTATTGGAGGCTGGAAAATGTGATGTTTATTGGATGGCTAGGACTGTCTTTTCTATCTGAAACAAAGTCAAGAACCTAGAAGCAAGCAAGAAAATTCTTAAGTAAGCCAAATTACTTTACAAAATTTATGATCTGTATGTATTTAAGGTCTCTTCATCCAGCCCTTTTTATTCCTAAATTCGTGCCTATTAACTGGATTATTAGTTGATTTGTCTGTTTGTGTATATAAACGCATGGTAGGGTGGAAGTGTTGGGTGCTCTTAGTTCCCAGTGGGTCAAGAACATAGGAAGCCCCTTGTGGTGGTTACAGCATTGGAAATCAGGATATAGTATAGATATCAGAAGACCTGGGTTTCAGTATCATCTCTGCCACTGACAAGTTGTATCTGTCCCCTTCAAAAAATTGTTTAATCACCTCGGGACTCCATTTCTTAATGTTTCCATAAGAAATGTAAGCCATCAGATAAAACAGATCTATTAATGTGATCAGTAAAGCCCTTAAGAGTTACTTCCTTTTAGTATTTTCCGTATTTAAGTTGGTAAACCATGTTATTTGGTACCATAAATATAAAGTTCAATAGAGTGTTATTAACTGAGAAATAGTATTTAAAACCAAGCTACTCTTCAGCTTATTATCTTAATCATTTGTTATTTTCTTGAACAGGAAATTTGTGTGGTTCGCTTCACACCAGTAACTGAAGAAGATCAAATTTCTTATACTTTGCTGTTTGCATACTTCAGTAGCAGAAAACGCTAT